AAGAAAAAGGAAGAGCTTTTGTTTATTTTCTCTAATAATTTTAACATAACCGAATGAGGAAAGTGGTGGTGAAAAAAAATGAAGGGGAATCTCCCTCCCCTTTCCCCCCATTTTCCATAAACTAAATATAGAGTGACCTTAAACTAAATATAAAGTGATGAGGAAGGGAAAACCTTGGATAAAGTGAAACATAAGCTTGATCAATGGTCTTAAGAATCTTATTTCAATTTAGTTTTTTACAATTAATTTTATTGATCCCTTTAAAGAATTCATAGAATAGGATGGAGATATGCACTTCTACTTCTAGTTTTGTAGTTTGTACCAATCAAATTATTGGTTTTAATTTTAATTTGATTTTTTAGCTATAGTTTTGATTGTTTATTAAATATTTAACAATTAAACTAAAAATTAGAGTAACAGTGTGTGGAGCCTTAAATTACTAACTTAGGAGGTCTAGGCACACATTAAAACAACTTGTATCTTTCTAGTTATTCTACAACCTACCAATTTTTGGGTTTGTTAGTCTATTTCTTTGAACAAATTGTCAATGATCACCACTAATACTGCAACAGCTATTGTTCTCCTAATATTTTTCCCTCTTGTTTTGTAATTTTAGGTGACAAGTCCATGATTAAGAAGCGTTATATGCACTTAACAGAAGATATTCTCAAAGAGAACCCCAACATTTGTGCATACATGGCACCTTCATTGGATGTTAGGCAGGACATTGTGGTGGTAGAGATACCAAAACTGGGCAAAGAAGCAGCTGCCAAGGCCATCAAGGAATGGGGTCAGCCTAAATCCAAGATCACCCACCTTGTCTTTTGCACCACTAGTGGCGTGGACATGCCCGGTGCTGATTACCAACTCACCAAGCTATTGGGCCTTCGTCCTTCCGTTAAGCGTTTCATGATGTACCAGCAAGGTTGCTTCGCTGGTGGCACCGTGCTTCGTATGGCCAAGGACTTGGCTGAAAACAACAAGGGGGCTCGCGTTCTTGTTGTTTGCTCGGAAATTACTGCTGTCACATTCCGAGGGCCTAGCGACACCCACCTTGACAGTCTTGTAGGTCAGGCCTTGTTCGGTGATGGTGCCGCCGCAATCATTGTTGGTTCAGACCCAGTACCTGAAGTGGAGAAGCCAATGTTTGAGATTGTATCTGCGGCCCAAACTATCTTGCCAGACAGTGATGGAGCCATTGATGGGCATCTTCGTGAAGTTGGGCTTACATTCCACCTGCTCAAGGATGTTCCTGGGCTCATCTCCAAGAACATTGAGAAGAGCCTGGTTGAGGCATTCCAACCTCTAGGCATCTCCGATTGGAACTCAATCTTTTGGATTGCTCACCCTGGTGGCCCTGCTATATTGGACCAAGTAGAGGCAAAATTGGGTCTTAAACCTGAAAAATTAAGTGCCACAAGGCACGTTCTGTCAGAATACGGAAACATGTCCAGTGCATGTGTGCTCTTCATTTTGGATGAGATGAGGAAGAAGTCAAAAGAAGATGGACTCAAGACCTTCGGAGAAGGACTGGAATGGGGCGTACTCTTTGGGTTTGGGCCTGGCTTGACAGTTGAGACAGTGGTCCTTCACAGTGTGGCTGCTTAGAAACCCTTACTAATCTATGGTGCTTTTTTATGCTTGTGTTTGGTTCTTCCATTTAATTATTTACTTTTGAAATTGTATTGCTTAAAGTTGATGTTTCTGTGATTTGGGTTAAACTTTGTCCGGTGAAATCATAAAATCCTAGAGAAATTGATTTCCTACTTTTATAATTGCAATGGCAATAATAGTAATTTAGTAAAAAATACTTTATTTTACCATTTAGATTACCAGACAAGAAGTTAAGAATCATTAAATGGGATACAGAGCTTGCCTCATTTAATAATTTAAGTTGTGCAATCTAATATACTTCTTTGGCTAAGCTCTCAAATCAACTCTCAAAATATTGGATGAAGATAGATTTATCCTTAAAAAGAAGTAGAAACAAATTACCCATCTAAATCTTATGATGAATTATTTAATAGCTAATGTTATCACACGTTAATTTTCAATTAAAAATGAGCTTAAATGACAAATAAATTCTTGACATATAATGATATTAGTGATTAAATTTAAATTCATTTATCTCTATCAATGATCTAGAAGAATAATTTATCATTATTTTTTTTTAGGAGTAGATGTATTTTTGTCCCCCTATTTTTGTCCTCTTCCATTGATGTTGGGTTCATTTTTTTATCCATTTTTTGTCAATAACAAAAGGATCGAGTTTGAAAGATCTAAAATGGCCCAAATCCATCGTGGCAAAAAAAAAAAGAAAGAAAAAAGAAGGCCCAAATTCACCCATCTTGCATGTTCCATTCTGGTTCCTGGGCTTCTTACCTTGATCCCCATCCCAGATGGAAATGGAATCATGGTTTTGATTTTCCTAAATAGTGGCTTAAAATGGCTATCTTTTTCTTAAAAAATATATATCTATTTATTATATTAATGTATTCTCAAGCTAGTTTATCTACACTTCCAAACTAATTTTTGCCCCTGGTGCAGTGTGTAACTTATAATGCCTAAATAGTGGATTATACCTTAATCATTTTCCTTTACTTTTAATAACATATTAAATTATTATTAACTAATTATAATGTATATTTTCATTAAAAAAATATATAGTATACAAATCTTAGTTTTGTTTGACAATATTTTATATAAACTTTTTTCGTATAATATTGTATTTTAAAATATAAATTTATAATCTTAATAAATAATCTAAATAATTCAATAATACTTTATTTTTAGTGATAATAAAAGATATGAGATATGAGATAAACCATTTATTATGTAATATAAAATAAAAAAAATCTTAATTCTTTTTATTAATCCTATACATACTTTTATTAATTTTAATTATTTTTTATATATTTTTTAAGATCATAAAAAAAAAAATTCAACTACAATTACACCAGAATACAACATAACATCCCCCCAATCACAGGCGAATGCTTAGGTTAGTATCAAAACAACTTCTTTTTTTTTTTAAAAAAAAAAAACAAGGTTAACATTTTTATAAACATTTCTCCCATGCAAC